GGGTTCGGCGCTGGAGCGCGGCATCGCGGAAATGAGGCAGAAAGCTTGCTGAGGCCGTCGGCGCTGCTGCTCGGGACTCCTCTCCGTCACCGCCCTGGACTGCCGTGTTTGCGGTTTCACCTGCCCAAACTGGGGGTAGAACCAATTGCGTTTGATTGCAGGGGGATCTGGCATTGCCGCGGCTTGCCGGCACCTCACCGGTGTGCCAGAGGGCCGGGGCTGGGGCTGTGCTGCCTTGGCAGCTTGACCTTTCCCCGGGGAGCGGCGAGACCTGCTGCCCGTGCCGGGGAGGGGCCATCCGGGTGCGGCGACAGGTTCCTGGTGCGGGAGGAAAGGTTCGGTCCCCATGGTTGGTCCCTGCTGTCCGTGAACTTGATGCTGTTGTCGCTGGTGGGGTGGCATGTCATCTGTGCCCTTGCGCCACAGCTTCACCTATGACTTCTCCATCTGGTACTGCCCCGAGGATGACCACATCGCCTCCCGCATCTCGGAGCGCTTGAAGAAAGAAGGTTTTCGGGGCTACGTGCAGCACCAGGACCAAGTGGCCGGGACGTGCATCATCCAGACTGCCACCGAGGTCATCGAGGCCAGCCGGGTGGCCATCCTCATCCTCTCCGCCAAGTCTCTGGGCGACCCGTGGTGTCAGTGCATTTCCCAGTGGAACCTGTGTCACGTCATCGACTGCGACGGCACCAAGATGATCCCCGTGTACGTGGGCGTGAAGAAAGCCGAGGTGCCTGCCTTCCTGCAGCACTTCGTTGAGCTGGAGTACCAGACCGAGTTCTTCTTCGACAGGCTGGTGCGCAGCCTGAGGACGCGCCGCTCGGCCGCGAGCAAAGCCCGGTCTGCCTCATCCTCCAAAACGAAGAGCTGAGGGACTGTGGGTGGCCGGGGTCTGGTTTTGCAGCCTGTTTGGGGGCCATCGGCCCCGCAGCGATGGTGGTGGGAGCAGAGTCGGACTGCTAATAAAGGTGGTGGGAACAGGTCACCCCAGCACTGGGGATTGTCACAAATCTCATTAAAAACACTTCTTGGAGAACTGAAGATGGGACTTTCTGTCTTCACACCCCCGCGTCACTTGCTGAACAGTGGTTGAGGTCAAAGTCAAACCCCGGGGAGCATCAGCGTCGCTGTGGGTTTTCTGCACACCCCCCAAGGTGTTTGTTCTGCCCCGTGGGTGCCTCTTCCCCTTCCTGCCCCCCTTTAGCGGGGTCTGAGCCCCGCTGCAGCCCGGCACCGCTGTCACACGTGACGTGGGACTTCTGCTGCTGCACTGGCTCGGTGTGGAGCGCGGCAGCGTCGCATTGCCACTGCAGAGGGACGTGGAGCAGGCGGGGGCTGCCACCCTGCAAGGGATGGGGTTGAGGGGTCACCTGGGGCTGCTGCTGCTGCTGACTCTCTCTTCAGCCGGGGTGAGTGAGCACCGCAGCCGACTGATGGGGACAGGCTCTCCTCTCCCCGGCAGTGAGCAGCTGGCTGCAGCCGTCGGTCATCGGGGGGCACGAGGCCAAACCCCACTCCAGGCCCTACATGGTGTTCATCCGGTCTGACGGGCGTAACGCCTGCGGGGGAGCGCTGCTGCACAGGCGGTGGGTGCTGGCGGCCGGCCCCTGCTTCCCCCCAGGGTGAGTTCAGAGCGGCCGCATCCTGCCCGCCATGGGGATGAGGGTCTCGGTGGGGTTCCATGTGGCCGGCACCGGGCTGTGGCCGGCACCGTGCTCCCACTGACACCGCCTCCTGCCGTGGGGCAGGACGAGGTCCGTCACGAAGGTGATGGTGGGGCTGCACAGCCTGCAGGACCGCGGGGCGGACACGCAGACCTTGGCCATCCGGGCGGTCTGTCCCCACCCTGACTACGACGAGAAGACGATGGAGAACGACATTCTCCTGCTCCAGGTGGGGTTTGCACTGGCCACGGGGAAGGGTTGGCCATGGGGCTGGAGGAGCGGCACCATCAGCAGTGCCGGGAAGCGCTGCTGGAGACGGGGCTGAGCGGGTTCACACCGTGCCGGTGCAGCCGTGCGCTCGTAGCCATGGCGAGGCGCTGGGTGACATTTTCTCTTCTCACCTCTGAGTGCTTTCACGCCTCAGTGACATCTCCCCGCTTCTGCGGGTGCTGCGCCAGCTCGGTGCTCCTCCTCTCGGCCGCCCACCCTCCGCCATGGCGGGGTCTGACGCTGCCTGTCACCCTGCCCGCAGCTGGAGGGGACGGTGAAGCTGAGCAGGACGCGGCGGCTCATCCGGCTGCTGGAGCGGGCGGCGGCGGG